GTCGATCCAGGCAACGCTGGAAAGGTTAGCAAGCTGAAGAAGTCCATTTATGGACTAAAGCAAGCCAGCAGGAGTTGGAATCTGCGATTTGATGAAGCCATCAGCAAGTTTGGTTTTATCAAGAATCCAGATGAGTCTTGTGTATACAAGAAGGTCAGTGGGAGTGATATTGCATTCCTAGTCCTGTATGTCGGTGACATACTTCTCATTGGAAACATCACAAAATTGTTGGAGTCCGTAAAGGGCTGGTTGGGAAAGTGCTTTTCAATGAAGGACTTAGGAGAGGCACATTACATATTGGGCATCAAGATCTACAGGGATAGATCTAAGAGGATGATTGGATTAAGCCAGAGTACTTGCATTGATAAGGTACTGGCTCGATTCAACATGGAAAATGCCAAAAGAGGGCATTTACCCATGTCCCATGGCATAACTCTCAGCAAGGAACAGTGTCCACAGACACCTGTTGAGCGAGAAAGAATGAATCAGATCCCATATGCTTCGCTAATCGGATCGATCATGTATGCCATGATATGTACAAGGCCGGATGTATCGTATGCCCTGAGTGCAACGAGTCGATACCAATCGAACCCAGGAGAGACGCATTGGACTGCGGCCAAGAATATCCTTAAGTACCTGAAAAGGAACAAGGATAAATTCCTGGTGTATGGAGGCCACAAAGAACTGGTTGTTGAAGGTTACACCGACGCTAGCTTCCAGACTGACAGAGACGACTTCAAGTCACAGTCGGGATATGTATTCTGTCTGAATGGAGGAGCGTTCAGCTGGAAGAGTGCCAAGCAGAGCACCACTGCAGACTCTACAACTGAAGCCGAGTACTTGGCCGCTTCGGAAGCAGCCAAGGAAGCTGTTTGGATTCGCAAGTTCATCAGTGAACTTGGTGTTGTACCCTCAATCAAGGGACCGATAGACCTTTATTGTGATAATAATGGAGCTATCGCTCAGACCAGGGAGCCGAGAGAACACCAGAAGGTCAAACACGTGCAACGACAATTTCACATGATAAGGGAATGGAAATCCGAAGGTGAAATCAGAATTTGTAAGATCGGCACGGATGATAATGTAGCCGATCCTTTAACTAAACCTTTGCCTCAAGTGAAACACAACAAACACGTTGAGGCAATGGGAATCAAGCATATTGGAGACTAGCTTTGATATTCCCTGTACAAGTGTTTTTTAATTAAACAGGGTATCAAGACCATGTCTTGGATAAAGAAACACCTGTTAACTGAACATTGAATATTAAATCGAAAAGTATCCCTAATCGAGGTCATCTAACAGATGGACGATTGATGACCGCAATAGATTAGTGTGTAGTATGATTTACAACACCGTTTCTTGTGCTGCGAGGACGTGACAGTCATAAATCATTTGCACAGGTACAGTTTGGAACTGTACTGGATAAGACCTATGAGAGTACTTTAAGAAAATTAAATTTTGTCATAAGTACATTTCTCATTATGGCTATCGGAACTTATTTCCTCAGACCATGAGTACTGTGAAGTTTTCTTGTTTGAGTACTAGGCTCTTTGATGTTTCCTAACGTCTGCCGTATCTGGGGATCATAACGGGAACACTCGGGAGTCTATGTCCTCTCAGTAAGAAGAACTTACAATACAAGACTGGGATTGTCCCCCTACTAACAATAGGGAAAATGTTTTGTTGTTTAAAAGGCCGCTCGAAGAGTGAGACAGTAAAATGCATGGCCATGCTCAGATGGATTTTAGAAATCATCTGTTTATTTGACAGTCAAACTCGGAGATCGAGAAACACTTCTGAACGTAATAAGGATGACAAGGAATCTTACCTTATAGTTCACGAAGAAACATTAAGTGACAAAGGAAATGAGCTATACACAATATGCACACTTGTCCGGAAGGACAAGTGGGAGATTGAAAGGAATGGTGTCCTTCCAACAAGTGTATTATTCCGATAGAGGGTTCAGAATTATTACAGAGGTAATTCTTCAGTAAGGTCAAGTGATCGGAATGCCTAGGTGGAGGCCGCTTCCGATCAGTAATATCAGGATACAATTGATATTACAGCTTAATCTTAACTGAACCCTTCGGGTCGAACCCAATCGAATCTCCGATCCGAGACGTCGAATTAATCCGAAAGGATTTAATGAGTCGACAGAGTTTTGGGAATACAAACGTCGGAAATCGAGCCTAGGGCGTCGATACCGAGCGTCGCAAAATCACAATCGACAAGCATGAGCGTAGCCATAGCTAGGCTAGGCTAGCTCATCGCAAACCTAGGTGCACCATGTGTGTGCTAGGCGCACCATGGTGTTCTAGGCACCATTGCAGCCTAGGCGCACCCTAGCAGCCCATCGCAAGCTAGCATGGGTGCCTATGTGCGCATGGCAGCCATCGCAGGCCACACAGGCACCAGGCAGCCCATAGCAGCTAGCAAGCATGCTAGCGTGGTGCCTGGGTGCATATGGCGCCTATCGCAGGCCATGGCATCACCAGGCGCACCATCGCAAGCACTGGGTGCTGCGTGCGTGCGTGCCTGGCCTGGCAGCACCATCGCAAGCACCAGGTGCTGGCATGGCTAGCTGCCTGGCAATGGCGCGCCATGTGCGTGTGCTTGAGTGCTAGCCTTCGCATGGCAGCACTAAGCATCGCAGCACATGCGAGGGGCTGCGCGCCAGCTCGATGCTAGGGCCTGGCACTCGCAGCCTCACACACTAGCCTCGCACAAGCAGCCTCGCATGTGATGCGTGTGGGCTGGCAGTGCGTGGTGCGTGGTGCATGGCTGGTGCGTGTGCGTGCAATGCCTGGCTAGGTGCTAGGCAGCAGCGCCACGCATGCGAGTGCGTGTACGTGCGCACATGCGTGGCTAGTGCTAGCGTAGGCATCGTGCTAGTGCGTGTGTGCGATGGGGTATGCGAATGGTGCGGGGGGGGGGCAGTGTGGCCAGCATGCGTGGCTCGCTAGCAGCACGCATGCTGGCTGTGCTAGCAGTGAGGCGCGAAGAGTGAGTGCGTGGGCTGCTGGGGCTAATACCAGCACTAGGTGCTAGCAGCGCCCAGCGCCAGCACGTAGCACCAGCACAGCCCAGCAGCAGCGTGCACTGGCTGGCTAGCTGGGTGCTGGGCAGCAAGGCACGCTAGCTGGCAGCCCCAGCTGGCACGCTAGCTGGCAGCCAGCTAGCACACCTTGACCCGGTTTTGGGCATGGTGTGTGGGGACCAACACATAGCCTTGGGGATCAAGGCAATGGTCCCCCCCAAGCCTTGGTCCTCACTTAGCTTTCTCTATATTTGTGCCATGTGTCGATTTGTGATTGAGTTGATTAATTATTTAATTTTGGAATTAAATAATTATCATTTTACCAACTCTCCCACATTGATGGGAGATTGGAAATCAAGGGATCATTTCCCTATAAATACCAAGCTTGGTATTGGGATTTGACACAACCTTGAGTGGAATTAAAAAGGCAACTCTAGAAAAGAGTAAACCTTTGATTCGTAAAACTCATAGTTATTTTGTCCGGGTCTTGACTAACCTTCAAGACTTGGGACGGCTCGGGTCGGGTCGAGGGTAAGATCCGTCGGAGATCTCGTCTTTTCGGGATTTTGAAGTAAGAGCTCTTTAGGAGCGAAGCACGCGTCAAAGGTATAATTCTTGTCCTTAATCTTGTTTGATTAAGTTTATTATGCTTGTTTAATTGCTTTAATTGAGGGGCGGGTCTTGGTGGGTTTCCTTCCGCGTAGTGTCGGGTCACTACGAAACCCTACAATCCCCATTTCATGATCAATGTGGGATAGTTGCATTTTTCACTAATTTATTTGATTCCAAAATAAATTATAAAACAATGCAATTACAAATCAACAAGTGGAATGAGGAGAGGAGAGGTTAGGTGAGGACCATGACCATGGGGGGACCATTGCCTTGTTCCCCAAGGCATGGCTCTAAGCCTTGGTCCCTACTCTCCTCAAACCGGCTTCAAGCAAAGGAGTGAGCTGGCTGCCCACCTTGCTGCCCAACTAGCACTGCCAGCCTGTGCACAGCTAGCATGGCCAGCACGCACCAACCAGTACAGTAGCACATGCGTGCTGCTAGCGAGCCACGCATGCTGCTGGCCGCTGGGCGCTGGGTGATGCCTGGCATGGTGCTACTGTGCGAGGCTGTTAGCATGTTGCTCGCTGCTTGCTGCTTGGTGCTGCCATGCGAAGGCACGCACGCAAGCAAGCAAGCACAGCTTGCTGCTGCTGCCATGGCCTACACGCACACGTACACGCACACGCACACACGCACAGGCCTAGCCATGCAATAGTGCTGTGCTATGCGTAGGCTGTGCGAGGGCTTGCGATAGCACCTAGGCACACAAGCACGCATGCTGCGGTGGTGTTGTGCCATGCGAAGGCACGCACACACGCAAGCACGCTGCTGCGATGGTGCTGCCATGCGAGGCACGCACCCACGCAAGCACCTAGTGCTAGCGATGGTGCTGCCTTGTGCGCCTAGAACGCATGGTGCGCCTAGCACACACATGGTGCGCCTTGGCTTGCGCCTAGCCATGCAAAGTGCATGCTAGCTCGAGCTAGCCTAGCGTCCACATGGCTAGGCCAATGTGATGCTATGGCTACGCTCGAACTTGTTGCTTGTTGATTTTGCGATGCTCGGTCTCGACGCCCTAGGCTCGATATCCGACATCTATGTTCGTAAAACTCTAGTGCTCATCAAATCCTTCGGATTGATTCGTCTGTTCGGATCGACAGTTCGTTTGGGTTCGACCCGAAGGGTTTAGTCGAGACAAAGCTGTAATATTAACTGCTCATTAATATTACAAATCGGAAGCGGCCTCCACCCAGGCATTCCGATCACTTGATCTCACTGAAAAATTAGCTTCCTGATAATTCTGAACCCTCTATCGGAATAATACACTTGTTGGAAGGACACCATTTCTTTCAATGTAATGCGTCGAAATACTGATTACTAGCGTTTAACCTTATAAATGGGCGTTGTGTATGAGTCGATGCGAAATTGAGCTCCATGTTTGAATTTTTAGGGAGAGGTTGTATACTCTGATGCCTGGGCAACGTCTAATTCCATTTTCGATCTCTTCTTTGAAACCTTTAGGATTGGACATCATACCCGGAGACTTATGGACCATGTAGTAGTTGTTGCATTGGATGACAAAGCATCTCGATGGTGCTTAAGTTTACATCTTCATTGCTATGCTCTTTTGCCTGAAGAGATTGATTTTTCTAAAGAGGCGTACTTTATGACACCCGATTACCTGAAAATGATGTGGAGAATGATCGATTTCCTGCGAAGTGTACTTGAAATGGGATACAATTTTGAATTCACTGTAAGCTTCTCCTCTTTGCTTTACTTGTCTAAACATCTGTGTAAGCTGTTATAGCTTCATTTATTTTTGCAGTCAAGTTTTTGTAGATGCATGAACAGATATCCTATTTCATTTCCTCTTTTGCATCTGCCTTAGTCATAGCGATTTATTCAAGTTGCTATATAATTTGAATTTGGATCTTGACATGTCGGTGCTTTTTAACCGTAGGCATCTGAAGTTGGTGGGCTCATCATGAATTAGGTCGGGGTGGCTACTGGTTTCGGTATCCCGTAGAAAGTGCTTCTTTTATGCCTGGGGTATTAGCCACAACTCGGTTTTCCCAAAATAATACGAAGTAAATACTGTTCTTAGAAATTTGGCAGAAAGATGAAGCTGATGCAATTAGAGGGTCTCCTCAGAAATCTTGATCAGTTTGCTTCACCAAAGGTATATATTTCTGTAAAACCCAACTTACAAATTCTTCTCAGTTTTCTAATTCCTCCCAATTTTTCTTTATTTCAATAAATTATTGCACAACATTTTTCTAATTCAATATTTTATATATGTTAATTAGTGTTGGATATTACTCCTTTGCTGCTGCAAATTGAACTTGAACAATACCCAACTGGCCCTCGTATTGCTTCTCGGATGTTATACACTGTATGTAATAATCCCATTACTTTCTTTGTTAGTATAACATTATTTTGTTGTTGATATGATTTGAAAGTTGTAGTCTTTTCGAAGTATGATCGATTTACTGGTCCGATAATTGATAGGTATTTTTGTTTCTTGAATTGGGTAGGCAAAGAATTCATTTGGAGATGTTAGTGATAAGGTGGTGGCTGATTTTGGTTGTGGGTGTGGCACATTAGGAATTGCTGCTGCTCTTTTGGGTGCAGAGTTAGTTTTTCTAGCATTTCTGTGAGCATGAGTGCTTGATTTGATGTTTAATGTACTTTGTCCGAAAATCGAGCTTTTATCAAATGATTGAATGTGTGAAGTACATCAGTCATATTTGTTTGTTTGTTGTCTTCTTTTTTCTTGGGCTGAAGTTGATTGCTATCAACAGTCATGTTATAGGTTTCGATGTGCACCATCTAATTTGCGCTCTAGCATGTTTTTTTATTTATTTATTTATTATAAATTTTCTTGTTAGACCTTCCTTGCAAGCTGAATAGAAGTATAAAGTGTTCCCAGTTGTTAATTTTGTCCTTACATGCGCTTGAATAGTAAGTATCTAATACATTTATGTCTTCTGCTTCCTTTACATAGTGATGCAGATTACTGGTTACTGTCGGATGGTGATGTCAGCATTACTGATATGTGGAGAACAGACTGTATCCTTTCACTTTTTTTTTTTTTCTTACGTTTCATTTTGTTGTATAAAACATAATTTTGTCAAGTTTCTGAAGAAAGAAACATGAACTTTGATTCCCTAACTCAATGATAGCTGGAGTTGAATGGAATGAATTAGGGACCATCCACGAAGACTATGCTGTGGCCAATGTTGGCACACCACAACCACAAAGCCCACATCCAAGTGCTACAGAAGTTCTACCTAATAACATGATGGGGAGGTGATTAACATAAAGTTCTGAGGGATTTGCCAATGTTGTCCATCTTGAATGCTTATGCTGGAACTGAACTGAGCTTCGTATATGTTGGGAAGGGAGCAGCATGACTTTGTGATGGTAGTGTGTAGATCAATAGGGTAATTGGTGCTAAATTTTATATAGTATGGGTAAGAAAACGAAGAATGAATCAGATTTGGTAAAATTAATGGAAGTTCCTTGCAAATAGATTCATTTTTTATTGTGAAATAAATCACTGTTGAATTGTTGAGTTATGGGGTTTGATTCCAATTATCAAATGTTGATTTCACAATTTAGGATTCTTTGTTAATTTATTTGTCTGTTTAGTTAATTTAGGGTTCTTCGTTAATTTATTTGTCTGTTTAGTTAATTCCAATTATCAAATGTTGATTAACCATCCTTATACATGAAATTCGCCATTGTAAGTGAAATTTTTGGCAAACAACTCATTATTAGTTTTTAGGTGTGCTAAAACCCATATGAAATCTACACTATTACAATAATAATGTATGAGGAAGAGATCTAATGTATGAGGATATCATTATTATTTCTCTTTAGCATTTTGTATACCATTAACACTATTACAATAATTTATGAGAATTACTAAACAACAATATTGTACAAAAGTATAATTAAGGATATTAATAGCTAAAATAAAGCATTGGAAAGCGTGAAATCACAAATGATATAGGGAGGGGAATGAGCTTGATGTTGAAAGCCTATCATTACCTGTCTAAGAGCCTCACAGAAACATGAATAAGTTATATAATCACTCCCGCTATCAACCTTTATAAAGGCAAATGCATCTTAAGCTGTCAATGAAGCTCTCCGAAGTAATGACTGTAAAGAAACAGATTGCCAATTAGATACATAGCTGAAAACTGCAACCTTATTTGCAAGCTTATTCAAAATAAAGTACTGTACTTTAGTTTTTTAATTCATTTAGTTGAAAACATCGACAATCCGGATGAGTGGAGCTACAGTGAGATGCAACAAAATAAATATATCAGAGTAGCTCACCAAGTTAGATTATCATAATCAATTGATAATTATGGTCTCTGAATTTCACAATGTTATTCAATAATCAAATCATGCTGTATCTATAATCTATAATCTATATCTATCTATAATAATAATAATAATAATAATAATAATAATAATAATAACTCTTAAAAAGTGAGAAGTTTACCCCCCTCTCTTTTGAACAGTAGAGCAGTGTTCGGATGGTTATACCCTCGCTGTTTTTATTTATTTACGGTTCTGCCATTGCATCTTGATTTCCTTTGATTTGTATCACGGTTATTTGCTGAAGATGGTTTTCAACCTCTGCTCCGGCCTTTCAACCTTGAATCGTTGCGGCTTGGACCTCGGCTAAGACCCTCGGCAACACCTTGGTTTCGGCGGCTCGAAGTAGCTTTGGCTGGCCTCGGCAATTGGAGGTGGTGGGCTGAAATACCTTCGGCATACCTCGGCAATGGAGTTTGAAGCTTCGGCCATGGCATAGAGCTTGAAGCTTTGCTCCGGCCTTTCAACCTTAAATCGTTGCGGCTTAGACCTCGGCTAAGACCCTCGGCCTCGGCAACACCTTGGTTTCGGCGGCTCGATGTAGCTTTGGCTGGGCCTCGGCAATTGGAGGTTGTGAGCTGAAACACCTTCGGCAAACCTCGGTAATGGAGTTTGAAGCTTCGGCCATGGCATAGAGCTTGAAGCTTCGGCGTTACTAGCCTCGGCTATGGAGCTTGAAGCTTCGGCGTTGTTAGCCTCGGCTATGGAGCTTGAAGCTTCGGCGTTGCTAGCCTCGGCTATGGAGCTTGAAGCTTCGGCACTACTAGCCTCGGCTATAGAGCATGAAGCTTCGGCGTTGCTAGCCTCGGCATGGCTCAAAAATGGAGCCTCGGCGAAGCTTGCTCAGAGGCTGGAAACTCGAACCTCAACCATGAGTGGTTTCGGCTGGGAGATCTTTTCCTCGGCGGAGCTTGCGAAGAGGCTAGGTAATGGAGAAACACCACCTCGGCTTGGAGAAGCCTTGAGCAATGCCGAACCAATTTGCTCGATTCGGATCTTTGAGCTTGGCATGAAGCTATTTAGCCTCTGCCATGAATGGCTTCGGCCTAGGGGAACCTCTGCCATAAATCAGCTCTGCCATGCCAACGCAACCCATGACCATCTATTAGCCCATTTTCAGAAATACCCTTCCAAACACCGTGTTTGAGTTCGATCAATTAACCCCTCCTAAAACCCTCATCCACCATTCCCATACTCCAGCGCCCAATTCTGTACTCCATCTCTCAAAAATGTTTTCTTCTTAACTGAAATTGAGCACAGATTAAGATTGCCCCCAAAATTACTTGATCGTCCATTAGAAGATGCTATCAAGGGTGAACTTGAATCCATCTTCTTGGACAAGGTTTTATCATCTTTCTTTTTTTGTTTTCTGGGTTTAATTTAGGGATTTGTTAAACATCGCCCACAAATTACTACATAAAGCCCACAAAATTCACTTGGTTTCCCAAAATTGCCCTTGACCTTAAAAAAAAAACACTCACACTCTCATCACTCACACTCTCATTGCTCATCTTCTTTCAACCTCTCTAAAAAAAAAAAATTTCAAAATAACGGCAATGTCGAGGCGGCAAGGCAAGGAAGTGGCGGCGGCGGCGGAGGGAAGGATGTCCCAAGGAGGAAAGGTATATTTTGTTTAAAAAAAAAAAAAAAAAGGGGAAAACCGCCGTGAACGCGGTGGGGCGCCCTGGCTGGACGCCCAGCCAGCGGTGGTGGCGCCAGATGCAGACGCCGCCACCAGTTGGCTGGCGCCTGGGCTGGACGCCACCGCCACGGTTGTGGCGTTTATTCTAGGCGCCGCAGCCGTGGCTGTGGCGTCCAGCCCAGGCGCCAGCCAACTGGTGGCGGCTTCTGCATCTGGCGCCACCACCGCCGGCTGGGCGTCCAGCCAAGGCGCCCCCCCCAATTTTTTTTTTTTTTTATTTTTTTTTAATTTTTTTAAAAAATTGTTTTTAATTTTTTTTTTTTTTTGTAATATAATTTTGAATTGTTTTTATATTTTGTTGTTTATTTTTATAAATTTTTTCAATTTCGTTGTATTTTTTCTACGTTTATATTTTGTTTACAATTATTTGTATGTTTTTAGTTTATTTGATTTGCGATGATGATTATTTATCGTATAAATTTTTGTATGTTTATATATTTTAAAATTTTGTGTAGGGTCGTCATGGTGGGGGGAAGAATATAGAGCTTCTTAGTAGAAGTTATTCAGTGGAGAGGTCGGGGCATAGACATGTCAGATCCCGTGGTATTTCGGCCTCAGTTCGTAGAGAACGGATCCACCGTCGGGATGAGGATGACGATGACGATGATGATGCTGAGGAGGGTGACCAGGAGGAGGAGCAGGAGGAGGGCGCAGATGAGGATGAGGATGTGGACGATGGCAGTGGACCGTATGATGATTACGGTCCATTCAGTCAGAGGGTTGATGACATGTACGAGACGCATATGGTGGAGGTGCGTAAGGGTAGGGGTGGTAGGTTTGTTAGTAGATCTGACACATCATCTGCGTCCACTGTATCCGGGGCAAGTAGGAAACGGTCGAGGGCGGGTAATGATTCTTGGGTTGTTAGGAGTGAGGTGCCCGGTGGGCCTGTTGACGGGAGTGTGATTCCTAGCTTTCTAGGACACATAGCTGCCCGTATTTGGGAGGACCAGGAGAGGCCTTCAGTTACGGGGTTGTTGAAATGTCATACCCGGGAAAAGACTTGTAGCTTTTTGCGTACATGGGCTGAGGCCTGGCCGGCGGAGAGCGAGATGTTCGAGCGACTGGAGGGCACTGGGGTGAAGCACGTTCCTGCCACCAAGCACGATAAGATTGACATTACGCTGATCACGGCTTTCATTGAGCGATGGCAGCCGGATACAAACTCTTTTCACCTTCCGTTCGGTGAGATGACGATCATGTTACATGACGTCGAGGCCATTCTGGGGATTCGTGTTGAGGGTAAACGACTTTGTGCAATTTCGCTGTACATCAACTCACGCACCAAACCGTAGTTGTCTTCGCCCATTTGAAAAACATCAGTCACGACCCGGAATCCGCAGTTACCATCTCCGATTACATCATTCCACCCTTCCAAGTACGACATGATGATCGCAGGTATCCTTTCCTTGTACGGAAACTGATCAACATCGTTTCTTCCTATTCACCATATAATTAATTATAGACAGTTAAGAAGGCAGGAGTAACACTTTAAAACTATGTGCAATAAAAACAACCAAAACGTACCAGTTCTCAGGGGCATATTCACAGACGATGAAGATTGACTACGACTAGATGACGATGTCCGACCACGAGAACGACCACGACCAAGACCACGGATATACTCAAACGCACTCCTGTTCCGCCGTTGTCGACCTCGAGGACGGTCAACTCCTTCGGGTTCCTCATAATCTAAGTTAGACGGGTGGAACATGTCATGAAGTACATGAGTAGCGTCACGAATAATAGAAGGATGGGTGGAGGACACTCGGTCGTACATCGAACGGAACTGCTCCAACTCCTCCTGTTCACGGTCGGCCGTTTGATTGTCTGCATGCTCACCAATAACAAGCGTCCTCCAGAATGCTGTCAACATGTAACGACGCCCTTTCTTCTGTAATAACGCGGTGAATGGTGCATGCGCAAGGTAATCCATGAGTTACTGAAATAGTACACCCACACCGAGTATACACTTCGTCAGCCAAGTCCCTCACCCTGTTCAGCTCAGTGAGAATCAACCCCAAGCAGTAGTGCGACACACGACCTTGGAGAATCTTAAATATAAAATGGCTATACATCGTACCATGTCGTCGTTTGGAGTCCTCTAGAGAGTTCCTGATGTCGTTCTTCTGAGTTTCAATTGACTTGTTCAGTCTAGCGAACAGTGTATCCAAAGCAGCGGTCGATGAATCAATCTAGTCCTTGGTAGCTCTATGAGCGCTCTCAACTCTACATGTTGTAGTGTTCCCAAAATGAAGTACCTGGTTTGTCCAATATTTGACAAACTTTTCCCTGTGAGGGACCCATTGATGCATCACATAGTCCACCAGTGCCGCACACCACTGGTACGAATCCCTGAAGTTAGCCAATGCTCGCTCATACGCTTCCTCTGTGGTAGCCTGTAGGATCTTCCGCCACTTACCATTCACTAATCTCTCTGCCATTTCCAAATTCTTCTTGAAAAGGTTGTAGGCTTTCACTTTCACGCAGTTGTTGATGTGCCATGTGCACAATAAGTGGTTCGATTCGGGAAACAGCTCTGCTATGGGGGCAAAGAGACCTCCCTCACAGTCGCTGACGATGGCTGCTGGATGAACATTAGGCCCGATGTAGTTTCTCAGCTTCTCCAACACCCAATAATAACTTGGAGCCGTCTCATCCCTGATGATTGCATGACCAATCAGAAAGTTCTGGTTCGTTGGAGCCATCCCAACCATCTCAACCAGAGGGAACTTGTACTTGTTTGTCTTGTACGTTGAGTCGATCAAAATCACAAATGGCCAAGACTTGATCATATCAGCACAATCAGGATGCACAAGGAAAAGATGAGTCACCTCCGCTGTATCTTCATCAGAATCAAACCAGAACAGGTAACCACGTGATTGTGCCTGGTGTAGCAGCTGCTGTATAGGGTTCCTTCCCTCTGACCGTTCAAACCTGAGTTGCTGTCTGACGTTGTAGATGTGTCTTCGGTTTGGATGGTCTTCTGGAAATTTCTCTAACACAGATGCTAATATTTTAGCAGGCTTCACTTGAGCATCACTCATTTCTTTCACAACTAGTTTCGCAGCAGGACTTAAGCCGCTCAGTTGTCGATACCCTCTTCATATACTATCATCTCATGGTTGTGATACCCCCATTTAGAGTAACCTATCACTTCCCAACCGTCACGACTCCGTAGTTGTCGAACCTTTACTCTGAACTCACACCCACAACCTTTCCGCTTTGTGTCAAACCGAGTGGCTGTACGAAAATCTCTTTCTTCTCTTTTGCGATAACGGTCACATCTCAAAATGCGATCCATTCTACCATCCCGTTGAGATTTATGAGTTGCTACTACCAAGCAAAATCCAGCTGCAATTGCAACCTGTTTTGCCCAATCAATCGCCTGTTGAGCTTCTTCGAATGGACCATCATGTCCAAATATCTCACTGTAATCATTTCCGTCTCCACCATATTCCTGCATCAATTATATATTACAATAAATACATTTAACGGATAATACATTTAATTTCTATATTTCCACATAATTAACACAAAAAAAAACATAATTATATATAATCAAACTTAATTTTTATAAAAACCTAATTCGAATTTTCAAACTAAATTTAAAAATATACCATTTCGAATTTTCAAATTTAATTTTAAAAAAACCTATTTCGAATTTTCAAATTTAATTTACAAAAAACCCATTTCGAATTTTTTTAAAAAATCATTTTCGATTTTTTTTTTCACAAAAAAATTAAATAAAAAACAACAAAATCAAAAAGGAAAAAATAAAAATTAATTATTAAAGGTGGCGTCTGCCAGTGCTGCCACAGCTACTGGACTGGCGCCTGGCAGGGCCGCCTCACCCAGTGGAGTGGCGTCTGCCCAGGACGCCAGTCTGGTGGTCTGGGCGTCTGGGCTGGACGCCACTCTGGTGGTCTGGGCGTCTAGCCTGGACGCCACTCTGGTGGTTCTGGCGTCCGGCTTGGACGTCCAGGCTACGGTTTGGGCGTCCACCCTAGGCGCCGGAGCCACTACGACGGTAAACCGTGAATTTTAACGGTGACTTACCTCGTTTTCCGTCGACGACGACGTACCTCCGGCGTCCCCCGCATCTCCGGCCTGCCATCCGGTCTCCCCCGGCGAGCCAGTACGGCTCCACATTTTTTACACCGAGATTATTTCAATTTTAGCAAAAGGGCATAATGGTCAAATCATAACATATTTGTGGGCTTTATATGGTAAATTGCGGGCGATGTTTAGCGTTTCACTTAATTTACTGATTAATCAAATTTCCCCTCTTTTTTTTATAATAATTCTAAATTTTAAAACGGTGGTTTAGGTGATTGCGAAACAGGTTTGTGTGTATCAATTTACGATATCAAATCAATTGATGGCGGCTTTGTATTACCTGTTGAAGGTGCTCCCACTTATACGGTATATGATTTTTCTCCTTTAATTTTTTTTGGTTGAGTAATTTGCAAAAAAAAAAAAAAAAAAAAAAAAAAAAAAAAAAAAAAAAAAAAAACTGGGTATTGGGATTAAATGACTTGAACTCCAATTAAGTTGAAGCTTTGGATAATTATCTTAGCATAAATTTCCCAGAAATGAACCTTTTTCAACAATATTGTTACTTCATGTTTAATTTTGAAATGGAAGGCACAACTTTTTACTACATTATGTCAATTATGTGTTAATTTTCAAAATTATGATTCTTGTTCGTGTTGTCATAGCAGAAATTGCTTATTGTGAAATAAATTGAGGCCCTTATGTCAAAATTATTATAGTGACTAGGAGTGTGCTTGTTAGGGTGATGCAAAGTACCGCGATAATTCAATGTTATAGTGACTATGGATGGTTGTATTGAATGGTTTCAGGTTATTTTTGAGAAGTTTTTGGAGAATTGTATGTTCATCGTTGACGGTTTGCCAGAAGTGGTGATTTGTAAATTGTGCACAAGTTTTTATTGCAATGCACGAGATGGTGAGGTGGCTTAGAGCTTTAAGGAGATGTTGAGGTGTGGGTTTTGAGGTTTAATTTTTTGAAATTGAAAATGGGTGCATCATCTGGAATTAGTCCCAATAGACAAGTGGAGGCTGTTAGATGAATTTGGGTTCTGCATAATTTGTATGGAACTGTATATTTTCTGTAGGATTTTTGGGTACTTAGATTGTTTTATCTGATTAATGAATTCTAAAAGCGGTAATGAGCTTTTATAATATTAGCAGCTTTAAGGATGCAAGATCAGAAATCATACCTTACTGGGGGCTTTTAGAAGAAAAACAAACTGAGTGGTTGTCAGATAAATGGAGATGCCAGAGGTCTTCCCCCCATCCTTGTGAAAATAGGTCCTTCCATATATATATGCTTATGCCTGTTTATTCTCTGTCGTCTTCTCTAGGAATGATCGATTTCTTTCTTGCAGAGGCATTTTCCATTCATATCGATTTGGGTTTTTCTGCACCATATTTTGATCTGTCGCTTCTTCGATCCGCCATGTTTATTTTGATTTGAGTTTCTCTACTTTGATGCGAGTATTAGCGAGATTTGGGGAAACGATTACTCATACATTAACGATCGGTCTTCTTCCAGTTGAAGAGGCGACGACGGCGGCGGCGGGTAATCAATTGGCGTTTGATTCACTGGTAATCCTATTATGTTTCTGATTTTAAGGGTTTTTTTTTTTTTGTATAATTCTTTGCTTGTTGATTTTTATGCCGTTTTCTGTAAATTTTAATTTTATGTAGCAGTATATTTTGTTTTGTTTTTTTATTTGAAAAAATGGGATGATGGGAGGGTTGTAGTTGAGGGTTTCATCTGTGAATTGAATCAGGATAATTTGATTAGATTCACTGTTCTTTGTAATGTTGTTGGTATCAATGACAATATTCTAAATTTCATATCCTGCTGCTTCTAATTTGCAAGGTTGTGCAATCCAAATCTTACAAATCTGGGTGTCTTAATAAGTTGAATGTGTTGGTAATATTTGTTCTGAATTCAACTCAAACTAATCTGAGAGAATTGTGTGTTTGAAACTCGATACACTTGCTTAGTGCGGCTTGAATTGCTGAACGTAGCATGTTCCTCTGATGGTTTTCTAGCAGTTTGCCTGTCTAAATGGTAGTCTGTAATATTGGTGCCAATTTCAAGTAGCATTTCTTTGCTGAACATAGCTTCAAATATGTTTCCTGCATTTCTTTGCTGAACATAGTTTCAAATTAGTTTCTTCTTTTGCTAGGCAGGAATGTTACTGGGGTAGAGTACAATTGAAAATTGCATTATAGTAGAATATAGAGGACTCTTGAAGGGCAGCTGCAGGAGTATGAATATGAAGAGAACTCTTGGCATATCTTGTGTCATAATGGGTAAGGTTTGTATAAATTTTGAGTATACTCGACTTGCACCTACTTGCACCATGTAAGTGAGATGTAGCCATTCGTAGGCTTTTAGTACGTAGTAAACAAATTACATACTGTATCCTTTGTATATAGCTTACCTCTATGGCTCTTTTAGGTGCTGCTTTTTGTTAATGTCAGGACTTAGGGCAATGAAATATAGGGTAAAGTGGCTATATTTTGATTGGTAAGGCATTGCTCCGTTAAAAGATACAAGGAACGTGGTGTATCTGAACTTTTGAAGTCGGCATCAAGTCTTTAGACTGTGAAGTTGTTTGGTAATTTGATAGAGTACTTAAAAGTTGAGTTGAAATGGTTGGGTTTGTGACTTTGTATGTAAGTGAGATGTAACCATTCGTAGGTTTTTAGTACGTAGTAAACAAATTACATACTGTATTCTTTGTATATAGCTTACTTCTATGGCTCATTTAGGTGCTGCTTTTTGTTAATGTCAGGACTTAGGGCAATGAAATATAGGGTAAAGTAGCTATATTTTGATTGGTAAGGCATTGCTCCGTTAAAAGATACAAGGAACGTGGTGTATCTGAACTTTTGAAGTCGGCATAAAGTCTTTAGACTGTGAAGTTGTTTGGTAATTTGAGAGAGTACTTACAAAGTTGAGTTGAAATGGTTGGGTTTGTGACTTTGTATTAGATAGTTTTGTGTTGGGTGATCTATTTTCATTTGCATGAGTTTGAAACTTTTTACCCTCTTATTTCCTGGCCAGGGATTGTGCTCAGAAGCAATTATTATTATGCCATTATGAAGGATTGGAGGTCCTGGTCGGAGGATAGCGAATGATCAGCTTGCAGATTTGATTATTGATTGTGAAGAAGATGCTGATACAGTAAGTCTTATTATCATCTGCTTCAGTGCTTCACTGACCTTGTTAAAAACCTCTTGGGTTGTTCAACATCTCTTGTGAACCTGTGGTTATGTTTTGGGATGAATGTTGTCTGTGCCAATGTTGATTCTGCTCGGCGTTTTGTCCAATGTAGCATTTTGAGATGAATTCAGATAATTTGCACCTAAGATCATGCTTTTGCTCTAAAGTGATGAATGCTGTATGAATTGCCTGCTAACTGTCGATATCTAAAAACTCAAACTTATATTTCTGCTATGTGTGGCTGGGGTTAGAACTTTGGATGCTGCAAGATGTCTCTGCTTTGGGATGAATGTTGCTGACATACTTATACCTTGATTTTTTTATTTTATTTTTTATTTTTCATGGCATATGGATACCTAGATAGCAGTGCACAAAATTCAGTTGTTATTAAACTTTTGATTCTGTTTCTCTTGTTGGTTTGACAATTCGCTTATTTTCTTCTTATTCGGTTGATTTTTCATCTCCAGTTTTTGAAATCCAGCCTTCTTCCCCTGAAACTGATCTTCTTACTTCTGATAAAGGTACCATTTTTTTTTTCTCTTTTTAATTTCTTCTGCATTTATTATTTTTTGATAACAATTTTCCTCTGTAGTTTATTTACTGGTTATATATACATTTTTGTGATTTTTCTGTTCAATTTTCATTTCATAATTTTATACAAGTATATTTTTTGTTGAGTTATTTAGAGTATTGTAGTGGAGAGCTCGCTCCACTTGTTAGCGCGCTCGTGCAAGGCAAGTGCGACCCGCTCCAAAAGCGCGACAAAATCGCGCTGAGTTTCTGGAAAATCTATCAGATTTTGGAGGCGCACCCGCGCCTCCGGATGGCGCGACCCGCGCCTAGGGCGCGACAAAATCGCGTCAGGTTTCTGGAAAATTGGATTTTTGGAAGAACAAGGAGCGCCCGCGCGAGCAAGTGGCGCGCCAGCGCGCAGGGGGTGGTGCGCCCGTGCCTCCTCGCTCGTCTTCGGTTTTGTGGTTATTCCCTTTATATCGTATCGATGCTTTGTTTTTGGATACACAAAAAAACTCCTTCCTCTCTGAAATTCTTCCCTCTTTACATTATTATGGAAGAACTTTGCAAACTCTTCTTTAATCCTCTATCATTAAAGTTTATTGATTGAGAATTTAATTATCTTATTACACATCTTTGTGCTTAGAGTGTGGTGTTGTCTATTGTATCTTAAAGTGAGTTTCCGGTTTCAACCCAAGCACCGAGGTGGGGGAAATTATCACTTTAGGAAAGTGTATACACGCCTTAGACAAGTATCCGGTATAGAAGACTCACGCGGTCATTGGTTTTCTCATGTTCTTAGGTGGTTTTCGGCTTGGAGTGAGGCAAGTAAAGAATCTTTCATATTAGTATTATTTTGTTGTAATTTTTGTTTTACATTGTTAATTCAGTGCTTGGTTTGTAATACTACGTTAAGTATTTGGTGTTGTAAATTTCGTTGGAATTTATACACATTCTAGGGTTTGTCCACCATAGTTAAGTGATTCTTGTTGTGTAGAATTGCATTGTAAACCCTAACAATTTAAAGTGATATTTGAACAACATGTCTAGTGTGAAAGAACTTACCACAAACTTTGTCAAACTCAAGAAGTTTGACGGTGTGGAATTTCGACGATGGAAGAAGATGTATTTTCTTCTTACATCGTTGAAGGTTGCCTATGTTATTAGCACTCCTAGACCAGTAGAACATTAAAATGAAACAATAAAGGATGTGCGTGAGATATCTAAGTGGGATAATGATGACTTTATATGTCGGGGATATATTCTCAATGGGATGGAGGATAATTTGTTTGATGTGTATCAACATGTTGAGTCGGTTAAAGAGCTATGGGAATCGTTAGAAAGCAAGTATATGGCGGAGGATGCTTCTAGCAAGAAATTCCTTGTAAGTAACTTTAATGATTTCAAATTTGTTGATGGTAGATCAATTATGGACCAATTTCATGAGATACAACGTATTTATAGTAACTTGAAACAATATGGAATCAATGTTGATGAATTGTTTGTTGTTTCGAGTATTATTGATAAGCTGCCCAATAGTTGGAAGGATGTAAAACATGACTTGAAACATAAAAAGGAGGACATATCTTTGTCCAATTTGGCTACCCATCTTCAAATTGAAGAAGGGATAAGGGCCATGGAGAAAGCTAAGGATGGAAATCCTAGCTCTTCCACCATCAATGTGATGGAGGAAGGCAAAACTAGTGCTTCAACTAGTGGTAAGAGGAAGATGTTTAATTCCTCTAGGGCAAGTCCAAGAAACAAAAGAACAACAACAAGTATGCTTGTTGGGAATGCGGTAAGACCGGACACCGCAAGAAGGACTGCTACATTTTCAAGAAGAAAATGGAGAAATCCAAGGATGGTCAAGCTTCTAAGAGCAAGGACCAACCCACCAAAGGTAATTTATTACATGAGGTTGAATTTAATTCCGGTATGGATTTAAATGCAACGGATCCTAACATTTTTATGGTGCAGGATGATGACTCATGGTGGATGGATTCGGGGGCTTCAAGGCATGTATGCAAGGTGAAGCATTGGTTCAAAACCTTTCACAAGGTTGGTGATGGAGAAGAGCTCTTTATGAGAAACAACTCTACCATCATGGTCCAAGGAAGAGGACAAGTTGATCTGATGTTTAGTTCGGGCAATAGTATCATCCTTAGGGATGTATTGTATGCTCCTAGTATTTCTAGAAATCTTGTATCAGGCCCAACCCTGAATAGACTTAGATATTAACTAGTTTTTGAAGCAGATACATGTATTATTACTAAGGGTAGCACTTTTATCGGACGTTGTTATTTGTCTCATGGTTTGTTTAAACTCTCATTAAGAGAGAAGTCTGTAATGTTGGATGATGTTGTTTTAATGTTGGTAATGACAATATTATGAATTTGTTTTCTTTATGGCATTATAGATTAGGTCATGTGAATTACAATAAGTTGAACTTCATGTCTAAACTAGAACTTATTCCACCATGTGATATTGCTCTTGATAAATGTACTACTTGCATGCTTAATAAGATCACTAGAACTCCTTCCAAGAAAGTTGAGAGATGTTCTAAGATCTTAGAAGTGGTTCATAGTGATTTGTGTGACTTTTATAGTACACCTTCTTTGGGAAATAAAAGATACATAGTTACGTTTATTGATGATTTTTCAAGATTTTGCTATGTGTATCTTTTATATTTCAAAGATGAAGCCTTGGTTAAATTTGATATTTATAAGAAAGAGGTAGAAGTGCAAGTAGAATCTTTAATTAAGAGATTGAGAACAGATAAGGGAGGGGAGTATTATGATCCTGCTTATTTCCAATCTTTGGGTATTATTCATGAGACTACAGCTGGTTATGCACCACAATCAAATGGTGTAGCTGAAAGGAAGAACAAAACTCTTCAAGAAATGGTTAATTCCATGCTATCTTACTCCGGGTTGAGTGAAGGGTTTTGGGGTGAAGCTATGTTGACGGCTTGTCACATACTTAACTGTGTTCCCACTAAGGGAAAAGATTCCACTCCTTATGAACTTTGGTACAAAAGGAAACCAAACTTGAAATATCTCAAAATTTGGGGTTGTAAGGCAGTTGTAAGAGTGTCCGGTAACAAAAAGAGAAAGCTCGGTGAAAGGGGCTTGGAATGCATTTTTATAGGTTATGCTGAGCATAGCAAAACCTATAGGTTCTATGTTATAGAACAAAGTGACTTTATTTCGAAACATTCGATTATTGAGTCACAGGATGCAATTTTTGATGAAAATCGTTTTTCATCAATGAGTAGACCTAAGGATCTACAAGTTAGTACCAAAGGAAAGGAAATTGTTGATTATGATGATCAACAAGAATCTCATGAATATTCATCTAATAATTAGGATGAGACTTCTCATATTAGAAGAAGTAAGAGACAAAGGAAACCTAAGAACTTCGGAGATGATTTTATAATCTATCTAGTTGAAGGATCTAGGGATGTCCTTAGCTTGACTACTCCATATTGTTTTAATGTGGATAGTGATCCAAAATCTTATAGTGAGGCCATATCTTCCCAAGATAGTGCATTTTGGAAAGAAGCTATAAATGATGAAATGGATTCCATCATGGGAAATGACACTTGGGTCTTAGAGGATTTACCTTCTGGTTGCAAACCTCTTGGTTGCAAGTGGATTTTCACTAGGAAAAGGAGACCGGATAGCTCCACAGTGAAATTTAAAGCCAGATTGGTAATCCAAGGCTTTAGGCAAAAGCATGGTGTTGATTATTTTGACACATATGCACCGGTAGCAAGAATAACCTCGATAAGGTTGTTAATTGCAATGGCTTCGGTATACAATCTAGTGATTCATCAAATGGATGTCAAAACGGCATTCCTTTATGGAGATCTAGAGGAAGAAGTGTATATAAAACAACCCGAAGGGTTTGCTTTGGAAGGACAGGAAAATAAGGTGTGTAAATTGGTTAAGTCATTATATGGACTTAAACAAGCACCAAAGCAGTGGCATCGGAAATTTGATGACACGATTTTGTCCTTTGGATTCAAAGTGAATCAAGCTGATAAGTGTATATATAGCAAATTTGATGACAAAGGTCATGGTGTCATCATTTTTCTATATGTTGATGATATGCTTCAAGTCTACAACAAGTAAAATTGACCAAGGAATTCTTATCCTCATCTTTTCCGATGAAGGATTTGGGGGAGGCGGATGTCATTTTGGGCATCAAGATAATTCGGGACAATGGAAGACTTATATTAAGTCAATCTCATTACATTGAGAAAATGATCAAACAGTTCAATACGTTTGATAAGTGTCCTGTAAACACCCCCATGGAACCCAATGTAAAATTGGTTAAGAATTCGGGGAAAACGATTTCCCAATTAGAGTATTCAAGGATAATTAGATTTGATGTATGCCATGACAAGTACAAGACTAGATATTGCATTGGCTGTGGGAAAACTTAGTAGATCTACTAGTAATCCGGGTGCACAGCATTGGTTTGCAGTTCGGAGGGTCTTGAGGTACCTTAAAGGTACATTAGACTATGGTTTGTCTTATAGTGGATTTCCTTCGGTTTTAGAAGGATATTCTGATGCAAGTTGGATCACTTACAAAGAGGATGACTCTTCTGTAAGTGGTTGGGTGTTCATGTTTGGGGGAGGTGCCATTTCATGGTCTTCCAAGAAACAAACTTGCATTGCCGATTCCACTATGGCAGCGGAGTTTATAGCTCTTGCCTCAGCTAGTAAGGAAGCTGAGTGGTTGAGAAATCTCATGTTAGAGCTGCCTTTATTGCCTAAGCCAATCTCACCAGTAGCTATTCATTGTGATTCGAATTCGGCTTTGATAAAGGCATATAGTCAAGTGTATAATGGTAAGTCTCGGCATATTTCACTAAGGCATAGCCTAGTGAAAGAGCTTATCAATGATGGGGTCATAAGTCTTGACTATGTTCCTACGAAAATGAATTTGGCGGATTGCTTTACTAAAGCAATGCCAAGACATTCCATCATATTTGCTTTCACTGGAATGGATTTATGTCCTAAAGCACAAATTTGTGAAACCCAATCTAACGCTTGAAGAAACATCAAGTCTTAGATTCAATGTGGTTGAATTACATTTTTGTTGTTTGTTAGCAATATTTGATGACCCATATTGCTATATTACTTGTGACGGTAAGGTAGCGTCAATTCAAAGTTCTCAAAGATTTAGAGTTGAGAAGCTCTAAATGAAAGTGTCTTGTCACGAGGACACACTTACGTATATGAGAACCTACCTATATAAGTTCGAAGTTTAGCCGCTTCAAGAAGTCTAGATGGACATATAGACTTTGATGAACTTATGAAAGATACGGACACATGGTTGTATAAAAGTGTCAAGTGATGTTAAATTCGAGTTATCTTGTGTGTATTTCACCTTCGAATGATTAGAGATATCCGTGTGATTCAATCCATATGGAAATCATGGGATATGATCATCGTTAAGTGTGTTATACTAAGTGTCAATTCAATCCGTAGGGACATTGACATTGATGCATGAGATGAAGCTTAATTGATGGAAGTAGAGAAGGATTTAAAGGAACACTCTAAATGGGGGAGGATTGTTGATTTATTTAGAGTGTTGTAGTGGAGAGCTCGCTCCACTTGTTAGCGCGCTCGTGAAAGGCAAACGCGACCCGCTCCAAAAGCGCGACAAAATTGCGCTTAGTTTCTGGAAAATCTGTCAGATTTTGGAGGCGCGCCCGTGCCTAGGGCGCGACAAAATCGCGTCAGGTTTCTAGAAAATTGGATTTTTGGAAGAACGAGGAGGAGCGCCCGCGCGAGCAAGTGGCGCGCTGCGCCCCATGGTGGCGCGCCCGCGCCTCCTCGCTCGCACCCGCGCCTCCTCGCTCGTCTTCAGTTTTGCAGTTATTCCCTTTATATCGTATCGATGCTTTGTTTTTGGATACACAGAAAAAAACTCCTTCCTCTCTGAAATTCTTCCCTCTCTACATTATTATTGAAGGACTTTGCAAACTCTTCTTTAATCCTCTATCATTAAAGTTTATTGATTGAGAATTTAATCATCTTATCACACATCTTTGTGCTTAAAGTGTGGTGTTGTCTATTGTATCTCAAAGTGAGTTTCCGGTTTCAACCCAAGCACTGAGGTGGGGGAAATTATCACTTTAGGAAAGTGTATACACGCCTTAGACAAGTATCCGGTATAGAAGACTCACGTGGTCATTGGTTTTCTCATGTTCTTGGTGGTTTTCGGCTTGGAGTGAGGCAAGTAAAGAATCTTTCATATTAGTATTATTTTGTTGTAATTTCTGATTTACATTGTTAATTCAGTGCTTGGTTTGTAATACTACGTTAATAATATGGTGTTGTAAATTTCGTTGGAATTTATACACATTCTAGGGTTTGTCCACCATAGTTAAGTGATTCTTGTTGTGTAGAATTGCATTGTAAACCCTAACATTTTTTTCCTTTTTTTTTTTATTTGGAAGTTTGGGGAATTTAATTTTAGCTTGAAAAAAGCTTTGTTCAATCAAATTTTGAATACTTAATTCAGTTCTATGAGTTATTACTTATTTATTTTGATATTTGAGTAGTTTTGCTAACACTAAATTGTGGAAATTAATTTTCAGGTGTATGCTATTCTTTGCTTCTATAAATTTTCTGATTTTATACTTTACCGGTAATTAGAATCAGTAGCAGAACTCTGTTTTTAAGCTTCATTTGATAGTTCAATCGTTTGCATTAACTAAATTTTTGTTTTGTAAATTATGAGAATGCCTTCATGTTGGGTTTAGAATACAACCTACCCTTAGCCCCTTCTAATCCTCCTCCACTTTTCCCGCCTTACAGGAGGATGATGAAAACACTTACCAGTGCTCCATCCTTTGATTCTCCGTCTTTTCTGTTTATATCACTTCTAAATGCTGTCTAACTGTCACTGGTGATACTTTACTGTTTTGAATTCATACTATGCTATGCTGGTTAGTTTGGGATTATATTGATTTGTTTAATTTTGTTTTTACTTTCTCAAATTTAATTGATTTAGGGTTTTTGATGAGTTTTGATTTTGGTTTGCAGCTTATCAGGAGCAATTTGGCTAAGTTAAAGGTACCCCTCCCGAATAGGAAGGTTATCAGGATCGGGATCCTACTTTGGATTGGTGAGAGGAGTAGGATCGAATCGGCAAAATCGGATCGTAGAATCGTAAGATTCTACAAAATTGATAAAAATAGTAATAAAAGGGTTGTTACATAATTAGATAACATTTTTTAAGCCATAAAAATGGTAAAATTTATAGTTTTTGTAGTTGGATAGTAATTTTCTTAGCTTAGAGAAAAGTTTGATTACATTAGGCTCATTTTATTAAGTAAAAAGTAAGATCGTACGATCTTGACCGATCCTACTCGATTCTGTCCGATCCTGCACGATTATGTCCGATCCTGATTGATCCTGTACAAACTAATAATAGTTTAAATGAAAAACAGGATTGTCCGATCCCACCCGATCCTGACCGATCCTGTACGATCTTGTGCGATCCTGACCGATCCTACAACGATCCTGCTTACTCTGCGATTCTGCATCTGATCCGAATCGTTTGGCTAAAATGGGATCGTAGGATCGCACGATCCTACGATCCGGATCGCGATTTTGACAACGATGTGAATAGGTCCACTTATCAGGAGCAATTCGGCCTAATATAATTAATCTGGATGCCAATTAGGTCCACTATTCTTCTTCGATTTCGCAAAAATTCGGATTGTGTATATACATATAATCTTTACGATTTCTGGGTTTAGGTTTAGATGTCTGGGAAATTTTAGGGTTTAGATTTTGAGAAGGGGTCAATGATGTCGCAACTGCAATTGCTGCTGCAAAATCGAATTCGCCAGCCTACGGTTTGTTTTCTTCAATTTCATTCTCTAATTGCTGATTTGTTTGATTTTAATTATCCAAAATGGGGTGGACCTTGAATTACAGAACACTACTGGGTATCTATCTACATGGAGGTCTGTGGAGAGAATGGCATCAGCTTCAGAAATTTTTGTTGCCAAAAATGTGTGTGGAATTAATCTATCAATCAGCGCTGATAATGCCAGGAATAATGCTTATAATTTTGACAAAATCGACGGTGTTGTTGGAATCATCAAACTTCTGGGTAATTTGGTTGCATCAGGACATGTAAATTTTAATTCCAATGCCCCATTGTCAGTTGTTACCGGCAGTTCTGGATTGCCTGATACAGGTGGCTCTATGTTTGATGATAAGGTTTCTCTTTTACTTTTTGCTCTGCAAAAAGGCTTTCCAGGCATCCCCAAGAAGACTTATGACTGCTAATGTGTACACAGCTTTACTGGCAGCCTCGGTATGACATCACTTTAAATTTTTATATTCATATTATTCTTCTCTGTTTGTTCATTAGTCTTGTTCAGTTTGTGGATTTACTAAACGAATTTGTGCCGCTAGAGTTAAGAAAAAAGTGTTCTTTAGGTTATGATAACGTGTCTCTTTGTCAGTTCTGGGAATGTGCTTCCAGAAGATAAGTAGATAACTTGATAAGTCTTTCTATTATCCATGAAAAAAATGTTTCTTTTGAATTTATGATACGATATTTTGAGTTGGGTGATTAGTTTTCTATGATTATAATTCCCAAGTTTCTTTGCTCATCTGCTTCTCTGCTTGTATAGTTGTGTTATGTTATTCTTCCAAAGACGCAACATAGACAATTTGTAAATTCAGCTGCTGTTGATTCATACAAGTTTTCACATAATTTTTTGACATGGATTTTGTCTTATTCTTTCAGATAAATGCTACTTCGACTGAAGATGGTTTGAACTTGTATGATTCTGGACATCGATTTGAACATGTACAGCTTTTGCTGGTTCTCTTAAGGTCACTTCCCTACGCATCTACAGCATTGCAATGTCGAGTGCTCCAGGTACTGCTCTCCACTCTTTTGTAATACACTAATAATATATGGTTGTCTTGTTGAAGAATTGAATCCCATAAAAGTTTTAATAGGTATTTTCCATACAGGTTAACATAATACATATTTTGGATTCTGGGTTTTGGACCTTGAAATTATTCATTATAGTTTTTGAATAGGAGAAAATGAGGTAGTGGTGATTGAAGGAAGATAAATAGTATTGACAATTGAAATTATATTGCTTCTTCTTTATGTTTTATTTTTTGGTGATTAGATTTAACTGTTTCTTATTTAGGCATTAACAGTGTAGCTACTTCTATGTGAAAAAAGGGAAGGAATACCTAAGGATATTTTTTTGGAAGGAAAGATTAAGAATACCAAAGGATTTTGGGAGGAGGAGGAGTTAGTGTAGAGATTCCCATTTTTGTTTTGGCCCTTTGACCTTTTATTTTTATTTTATTTTTACTTTTTTTATTTTATATATTTATTTTAATGTTTTTTAATTTGTTATAATAGTACTTAGTCCAACATGATTTCACACTTTTGGGTTATCTTGGGAGCTGTTCACTTGTAATTTTGTAAAATGTTCATAGTGACCTTTCTCAAACCATTTATGTTTGTTACTCATATGTTGTTACCACTCATTTAAATCTTTTTAAATTTTTTATGCTTGTTACTCTTTTAAAACTCTGGTAAGTGGCCCATATGCTCTTTCTTTTTCTCACTTTATACACCTTTTTTCCGAAGTCTTTCAACTGGTTATCTTGTTATGTCCTCTTTCTTTGTCAGATCTCGCATGGTTCCTTATGACAATTCATGTTAGCCGACCCATTTGGGTCTAAAGCTTAGTTGTTGTTCATAGTGACCTTATTTTTTTTACAAAAATTTAAAAATCAAATATTAGTATTTATTTTAATACAATTAAGAGGGTAATTTCACCTAGGTTAGGAGTGACTAGTACTAATTGCATGTAGCATTAGGTTAGGTGTGAAAGGAGCTACAGACGTGGGAGGTTTTTGTTTCAAGTTTATGTATTAGCGTTGAGGTGCGCAATATTGCGTACCTAACATGTTCTTTGAATTATATCGTGGTTGTACCTAATTGTTATTTGTCTGTCTATTTACAATCAGTAATATCATGAATTTGCTTTTCAATTCATGAAGTGCAGTCTTAAGTCCTCTTAACATAGTGCTGTGAGTTTTTGTTAAAAAGAAAAATTACATAATGCTGTAAGTTTAAGGAAATTTTCACTTTTGCTACCACCAAAACACATGTGTTTCACTTTTGCTACCCCTTTAAATTTTATTTTTATTTTACTACCACCTAAAAGCACATTTGTTAAAATTTGCTACCTGTTAACGGATTCAGTTACTATTTCCGTTAGTGAGATCCAGCCACCCTCAATGTCACCTTCCAGCCACCCCCTCCCTCCTCAGCCACCCTAACTGCCTCCCCGTCAGCCACCCAAAAAAAAAATAATAATAAAAATGTTGAAAAAAAAAAGAAAAATCAGCTGCCTCTTCTTCCTCCTTTCCTCCCTGCCTTCTTCTTCTTCTTCCTCCCTTTCCATTATTTTGGCTGCTCCCGTCAGCCACCCCTGCCCTGCCGGCGGCCGGCGCCCAAAGCTTTGGCCACCAGTCCACCACCCTAACAACCACTTGCCCCCTGAACTGCATCCTGCCATCGCCACCTCCACCACAGTCACGCCAGAAAAACCCTATAACCACCCCCAAAAACCCAACCTCATCCCCGAAAATTCTAAACCCCAACCCTTTCTCTTTCCTTCCTTCCTACCTCCTTCCTTTCTCTTTCCCTTCACTCTCCATTAATTCCGATCCCCTCCACCCTCTTTGCTGCTGCTGCTTCACAAGCTGAATTCCAAGGCCGGTTTCGTAGTGTCTCGGGTTCCATGGTCCCTCCTTATTCTCTCGTTTAAGGCCAAAATCAAGTTGAATATTGAGTCTGAAACCTTTTCCTCCCTTTATTGTCCTCAATTTCTCTCTCTTCGTTTTCAATTTCCGGCCGCCTCCTACCCTCTCTCGACACCGAAATCTCAGCTCGCCCCCCTTTTTCGATTTCTAGGTTTTCGGTGTTTTAGGTTCTGGGTTAGGGGTGGCTGTTTTGGGTGGGGAAAGGGGAGGGGGGTCGATTCAGGGTGGGGGAAGGGGAGGGAGGGTTGTTTTCCGGTTTCGGGGGTGGGGGTTGTGGCAGCGAGAAGGGGATAAGGGAGGGGGGTGGGATGCGTAGGTGGAGGAAAGGGAGGTGGATTGGAGTCACCAGCGCCGACAGGGGGAGGGTGGCTGACGGGAGCAGCCAAAATAATGGAAAGGGAGGAAGAAGAAGAAGGCAGGGAGGAAGGGAGGAAGAAGAGGCAGCTGGTTTTTCTGTTTTTTTTTTTTTTTTTTTTTTTTTTAATTTTTTTTTTTTTTTTAATTTTGAATAAACTTAACGGAACCCTGACGGTTTCTGTTAAGTGGTAGCAAATTTTAATAAAGGTGTTTTTGTGTGGTAGAAATGCATGTGTTTTGGTGGTAGCAAAAGTGAAATTACCCTTAGTTTAATGCAGCATTTTATACAAACTTTTAAGGTTTCTAAATTGCCGTCTACATGATTTCAGGATCTTCTGTTTTTGGCTTGCAGTCATCCAGATAACCGGAGCTTTCTAACTCAAATGGAGGAATGGCCTGAGTGGCTTTTGGAGGTTCTCATATCAATTTATGAGGTAGTGTCTCTATTCATTCTGGAAATGTCTAATTTGAAAATAAATTGCACGGAGGTGGAAATTGGAGTGTAAATGGAAATGGGAAATGGCCAATATGAAAAACTTACAGACATAAGATCATATGTACACTCGAATTGCTTGTGACATAAGACATAACTAAGATTATTGAGCAGATAATGTCAGTCAAAGAGAGAAGATGCTTGAGAGAAGATTGGTGATGTAGAGAGAGTCTAGAGATTCTGAAGGGAGTTGGGAGAGAAAAAGGGACATCACTTGTGATGGCTGCTTTTGTTATCAGCTCGAAAGGTTGATGGTCCAATTCTGTCAAGCTATGGATATATTGTGAGTCTCTACCCATATATAGTCCTGCTATGGTGTTCAATTTGGCTCAGGGAGAAAGGTTGGTGGAGAGGTGATTGTAAGAACTGAGATGCACTGAAATATAGTGAGCCATCTTTGGTCACATTTTATTTTTAAATTTTTTTTTTCACATTTTTTTTATTAAGTCATCTTTGGGTTATAGTGGCCTGACACTCTTTTAACGAAGTTTGTTGTCCTCAAGATGCTTTCAGACATTCCCTTAATGTCCTTTGACGATACTTGCTACTCCTCGAATTGTCCTTTCCTGCCCGTGCATACTGGGGATGTTTCAGGAACGGGAAATGTCACCCTTTTGCCCATTCTGTGCTTCATAGCTATGAAAAAGCATTACGAAACTGGACATATTCTTACGGTTATCGTTAGAAACTGGGGATATCTAACCCATGTGCTTTGTGTATGTGTATGAATCACTTGCGTACTGACGTCATTGTTCTCTTGTTTGATTAGAGAACTTCAGTGAAAAGCTTGAATTCTTCAAGTTTGGGAGATGTAGAAGATCTTATACACAGTTTCATGATCATCATGTTAGAACATTCAATGCGGCAAAAGGATGGATGGAAGGTGGGCTTACTTGGTGCAGTACTTATCTACCTTTATAGCAGGAATATAATATATAAACTTTTACAAATGTCTAAAGGGATTGTCTACAGCATACCTTCGAAAAGATGTTTAGTTAAATATGTTGATTTGTCTAATTGTGATTCCTTTCACTTCAGTGTGCCTCTTATTTATTATTCAAATACAAGAAAAAAGATAGCTTTTGTTTCTATTTCTTTTCATCTTTGTGCTTGAGTGAGTTATCTGGGAATCAGTCTGTTTCATAACTTTGTTGATCAATAGAGTTAAATTATAACTTAATATGTTAATCACTTTATTAATGACTTGGCCAATATGTTATCTTCTTATATCTGGTTGTTTTGAGTGCAATAGTATCATTTTTGGCCTTGCTGTTATTTCTTTTGCACAGGATATTGAAGCGACAATTCATAAGATCTGTCTTCTTAATTCAGCAGCAGCAACTTATTTCAGCAACTGTCTTCTTATTTCAGCAGTAGCAACTTATTTCAGCAACTGTCTTCTTATTTCAGCAACAGCAGCTTATTTCAGCAGATCGGTCTTCTTCAAGATTTTGAGCAACTTATTTCAGCATCAGTCTTATTTCTTCAAAGATTTTGATTCCAGCATCGGTCATCTTATTTCAGTAACTTATTTCAGCATTGGTCTTCTTCAAGATTTTGATTCCAGCAGCAGCAGCTTATTTCAGCATCGGTCTTCTTCAAGATTTTGATTCCAGCAGTAGCAACTTATTTCAGCAGCAGCAGCATCTTATTTCAGCAGCAGCAGCTTATTTCCAGCTACAGAAGCAGCTTATTTCAGCAACAGAAACAACTTATTTCAGCAGCAGCAGCAGATTTCAGCAGAAGCAAATTATTTCAGCAGAAGCTTATTTCAGCAGAAGCTTATTTCAGTAGAAGCTTATTTCAACAGAAGCGTATTTCAGCAGAAGCAGATTTCAGCAGAAGCAGCTTATTTTAGCAGAAGCAGATTTCAGCAGAAGATTATGTCAGCAGAAGATGATTTCAGCAGAAGCAGATTATTTCAGTAGAAGCAGATTTCAGCAGAAGCAGCTTTTTTTTTGCAGAAGATTATTTCAACAGCTTATTTCAGCAGCAGCAGATTTCAGCAGAAGCTTATTTTTGCAGAAGATGATTTCAGCAGTGCAGAAGCAGATTTTAGCAGCCGCAACAACAACAGCTTATTACGAAAGACTTTGGTAAACATTCTAATAAATGAATGCAAAAATACATTATGATTTCAATGTACTTATTTCGAAACAACTTCAAATATATTAGTAGAATTATGTATTTCTTAAATTTTACACATTTTTTTTTTACCATAAGATCATTGTTTTTTAATTAAGTTTATTTCATTACCATATTTATTAGTAATGTTTTACAACAATGGCTTTATGTAAATACCCAATTCTGTGCTATAAAACATTACTAAGAAATAAAGTGATATCCAAGTTTGATATTTACACTGTTTTCTTAATTTTTATTCATTTCACATTTTAAGTAAATTAGAAATGCTTACTAAAACAATGATCTTACTTTTCAATCAAATTAGAAAAGAAAACTTCAAAACCTTATGTTGTTGTTTTTTCCTTCAGCTTCATCGGTAGTTTACAGTGGTCCTAAACCTCTGAAGAAGAATTTCAAGATTAACTAATGAAAAGTACAAAAGTATTTTTCTTACCTTTTTTGTTTATGACAAAAGTACTTTCGTACTTACCTTTTTTAGTGAAATTATTTTACATCTATCCTATATAATAACTTTGAATGCAACAATCTTCTCTTAGATTACATTAAAACTAAAAATTTTAATGACATGCACAAAATACACAAACATAATTACCGTGTAACAGAAACATCGAATACAGTAATCACCAATAATAATCGCCGTCATTGGGGTGCCGCGCGCGAAAATAGAATATCTAATGTTATTTATGAAAATAGTAATTCAAAAAACTTCTTTTTAACAACATAATTTAAATTATATCTATCCCATATACTAACTTTGAATACAACAATCTTCTCTTAGATTACATTTAACAATTTAAATTTTAACGATATGCACACAATACGCAAACAAAATTACCGTGTAATAGAAACACCGAATAACACTAATAATAATCACCGCAATTGGGGAAGCGCGCGCGATCCCACAACTAGTGTATTTCTAATGTTACACTAAAATCTAAATTTACATTGTAGTATATAAAAAAAAATTCATATACTTCTAAGAAATTATATGTGTCAGTGTGACACATAGCTTCCCTCTCCTATGCAATATAAGTATGTCATAACATCTACTAAATCAGTTTAAATTTTTTTAAAGGTTTACAAAATTGCTTTTAAAAGAGGTTGAACTTTTGATCAACAGTAATTAAGTTTAAAACCTTACGGAGATTATCTTAGCTATTTTTTATTTATGTTTTCATTTTCAACTTAAGGAATAAAAGATAAATCTAAGTTTATTCGGCAGATAAACAATAAAACATTTGTCAAGTGACAACTTTGTATATATAAATCACTAACTTTTTAATAAATATGGGCCTAAAATGTCATATTGACTAGATTTTTTGTTAATTTACCTATGAAATTGCCGATTGATAAACATTTTTTGTTTAAGTGATAAATAAACTGGGAATTCTTCCAACTTAAATATATATGAGTTTCATGGAGTATGTGATTTTTTCCATTAGACCTTTTATAGTTGGTAAAATATCATCATATAATTTATATGTATTAGGAAACAAGTAATATATTATGATTGTTAAAAAAGTAATAATCCATGGTATCATTCTAGTCACACACTAGTTGTTACTTCGTATTAAATATGCCAAAATGGTTGTCTTGTCTTATTTATTTGTTCAAATAAGTACAAAAATAATGAAGTACATGTATATTATAAGCAATAGCTAATGGACCGTGTACAAAAAATTATTACGCAGATAGGAGTCATTTGGACTAAAAATTGTGGGCATTAAGGTCATATCCGTATTATTGAACAAAAGTATCGATTGATGAGAACAATACTTCCTCTATCTCTTATTTTTTGCCCTATTAAATTTTTTACGGTCTTAAAAAACGTGTATTCAAATGTATATTCATTATTTTTATATGCGTAAATTATAAAAATATGATACTATAAAATATACAATGAGACGATTCTAGCAAGATCTCACATGAACATATTATAACTTAGTCCGTTTTAGGTTGGAAGGAAATAGGAGGAAAAGGAAAGAAAAATCATTGTTACTTATGTTTGGTTATAAAAATAAACGAAATTTGATAAGAAATGAAAAAAAATGGAAGGAAAGCTCTCTTCACAAAATCTTCCCTTTTGGAGGAATTAGAGAGGAAAGGAAGAAATTAAATCTATCAAGTTTAAAATTAGTCATACCAAACAATAGATTACTCTCTTTTTCCTTCCTTTACTGATATCAAAACAAACATTAGATGATATAGTTTCTTTCCTTTTCCGTTCTCTCCCTTTCTCTTACCTTCCCTTCCTATCCCTTTCTTTCCTTTACTATTATTAAACCAAGTATAGCCTATAGATTAAAAAATATTCACGGTCAAAATTTTAAAAATTTGACCCATATATTTACAATACGGCAAAAATAAGGGATGAAAGGAGTACATAACATCAAATACCCTCCCCTGTGCATGCCACATCAACTTTTAAGTAGATCATAGCACTGAAAGGGTTAAAAAAAACAAAAAAAAAATTCATTTTAATCAATAATAATTCCCCATTATTATTAATTTATTAAATCAAATTCAATAGAAAACAAAAAGAACCTTAAATCACGTTCAACTTAAGTTACATTGTCAAATAATCTATTGAATTATACAATCCATTCAACATAGGAAAGTAGAATGAGATTTTATTTTTTATCAAGTCAAATTATTTTAGTTGAATTGTTAAAAAAATGTATTGAATTATATAATAAACATATAGTAAACAAACCTATTAAGAGATACCAAGTTAGATCCAAGGTCATATACGATAATTTTTAATAATTTTTCTTAAATTGAAACTACATTTAATAATAAAATATAAATTTGTCTATAATATTATGATGAATCCCTACTTTTTAAAAATTGAGAAAACTCAACTTTTTATGAATATTGTTTGGACAATTATACACTCTAAAATGTTTATTTACTTATTTGTCCTCATTCATTTTAATTGTCTTTTTTAACTCTTAGAATAGTATATGGACTTTTATAACCCTAAAAATATTTATTTACATGTTGTTCATCATTACTAACTGTTGACCTTATGATTTTGATGATGACACAACCTAACTTATTTACATACTAATAAGTGCTTGATTGTTTAAGTGTGTGATCAGATGCATTGAATAGGAGAATTAAGTTATGTTGCAAAGATTCCATGAGGAACAAGATAGCACAGGACAAAGTAATCCAAAAGAGAAAAGTTCCCTCACAGGAACTGACACTTTAGAGTTGGAGCCTTGAGAAGAGATGTTCCTCTTAAGGAACAGGAGCTTCGGAGTAGAAGCTTCACCAGAGAAGAAAAATTCCTTTGGAAGAACAGAAGTGTCAAAGTAGATACTTTATCAGAAAAACATGAAAACTAAAATATTTTTATGTTTTAGGATTAATGTAAGTATAAGAATTAAGTTTATACTCTAAATTAGCTATGTGGAATTGGCCTAAAAGAAAAGTTTGTGTGTTGCTTAATTTTACGAAAACCTATGGTTTAATTCTTATCCTTTTGATTTATGAAAAGATATTATTTTCTTTTTAATTTCGAAATCTCAGTTACAAAAATAAAATCTGCTCATATTTTCCAAAACTCGCGGACTACTCTCCATGACTTAGTCCATGTCATGGTCTTGCGCATTAAGGAGTTCATGTCCTTAATTTTAGGACATGATCAGTTTAGTGGGTAGAAAGTAGTGGCGTTAAGGCCAAGCAGCACAAGGCATTTTTCCTAAGCTAAAAAGGTTTATAAATAGCCAGTTATTTCAGTTGAAAAACTCACCCTTGCTCAAATAGATTTTATCTTTTATTTTCTTTAACAGAGTTAAGAGTCTAATTCCACACTAGTGAATTAGAGTGTTCTTATGTTCTTATACACTAGTAGAAAAACACAAATGCACATCGAGGAATTCGCACCGGTTCTTAAAAACTAGTAGGAAAAAAACGAGGCGAGATTTAGTGTAAGAGCAATGGCACTGGTTCAAACCAAACCGGTGCGAATTTCTTGAAATGGCACCGGTTCAAACCGGTGCTAATTGCTTTCCTAAAAAAACCCACCCCTTTTCCTTCTTTCTCTTTCCCCTCTACTTTCTTTTTGTTTCCTCAGTCTTTCGTTTTATCTCTCTCTTCTTTCTCCTCAACATCATCTCTTTCCCCCCATTCTGTTGTTCCTCACTCTCACTGTCTTCTTCCATCCACCATCTATTTATCTTCTTCTTCTTGGATTTCTAGGTTCGATTTTCCTAAAATCGATTTTCTATTCATCTTCTTCTTCTTTGTTTTTCTGGGTTCGTTCGATTTTCCTAAAATCGGTTTTCTATTCATCTTCTTCTTCTTCTTCTTTGTTTTTTTGGGTTCGATTTTCCTAAAATTGATTTCTATTCATCTTCTTCTTCTTCTTCATTTTTCTGGGTTCGATTTTCCTAAAATCGATTTTTGCAAATCAGAAACCTAGATCTATGTTTGAGTCCCTCGATGTCGGCCATGATTGTTTTCCCATTACACCTTGCATTATTTGAGAGTAACAATGAGGTTGAAAAGGGGTTAATCTTAGCCCTAATTGACGCACTTGAGCAGGGGTCGTCGTGGCCTGAGCTCCTTTACAGTTCCGGCAAGGGCCTTGACATAATGCTCCAACTGAGTCTTCCTGTTCGAAATGAACTTGCTTGCTAACATTTGTTGGTAGATTTCTGAAACCCTAACCTCTCTGTTATTTAAGTTTTCTAAATTTATTTTAATTCTATACTTAGAAGCATGTTTAAGTGGCGGATGAATGATTCATGTTGTATACCAGCATACGTTGCTGGCGGGCTGGATTATTGTTGCTGGTTATTGTTGCTGGATTATTGTTGCTGGATTATTGTTATGAATGATGAGCATGTGTACTATTAATGTGCCCAATGAACCTCTTTGAGCGGACATGTTGTGTGCTATAAATATCATAATGCGTTGAGTCCCTTGGCCGTAAATAGTTACACTAGGATAATCCATATGATGAAGGGACTCACTTTCATCATACAGCTTCTCACTGTGATTTGCTCCGGTTTGTCTGTTGAGGTAGCACAGTTTGAGAAGTTTTTGGAT